CTAGATCTTGCTGTAAGTAGTAATATTCCCAGACTTCTTTTTTGGTATTCATATTAAAGCCTTGTATATTGTGAGTGCAGATAGAAAGAGTTAGTAGGTGAAGAGATGGTGGCTGAGGAGTATTGGGTTGGGAGGTGCTAGAGTTAGATTGAAAGGTTTGGGGAATTGGTATATTGTAGAGGCTACTCATTAGCATGTTCATTGGTGTTGGGTTGTCCAATGGGGGTTGTTGTTGTTAGTAGATAGGATATTCTCTGTAGTAGCTATTGTTGCTGTAGTCGTTGGTATTATATTAGATGTTGTAGTATTTGTAGTGTCCTCCAGGACTGGAGTAGTGCTAATAAAGGATTGAACAGTACTAGAAGTGATTGGACATGGGAGACACTATTGAATATGCTCCAGTTAGGGGTAAAAAGTGGGGGAAGGTCGAGCAAGAAGTTAGATATCTTTTTGATCATGTAAAATTGTCTAAGTACTTGTATCGTTGGGGTAACATCTGCCTGATTTTGGATTGGGAGTGAAACAATTACTTCTTGTTTAGAAAGAGTCTCAATAATTTCCTCTATATTTTCTAAAATGTTAGAAAAGTTTTGTTTGTGTGTTGTGTCTGCATTCTTGGTGTTGTTAAAGGGGCTGCTATTGATTTGAATCCAGTCTGAAGGGAGCTAGCTAAAAAAGTGGTGCTTATGAAGAAGTTTAACTATAGCTGTAAGTTGCTATGTAGTGGTAATAGGAAAAGAGATATCTAGGTGTTTAGTAATTTCTTCTGCAGTTGGCAGGATGGGTTTGTTAGTTGAATTGATCTGCATGATTTCTACTAGGATAGGGAATATGACTTGATAGTAGGGTAAGACTTGCTTGATAAACTTTCTGGCCTCAGTATTATCAGTAATAGAGTAGATAAATGGGGTGGTAGTTTTGATTTTGCTTGTATCTTTTGGAAGAAGTGGTTTGGTCATAAAGAAATTATTCAGGAGGAGTTTGAAGATGTAGTATTTTCTGAGCTGAGTAACAACTTCAGCAAGTAGAAAGGTGGAGATGGCTTGATCATATGGAAAGAATTTGTGGACCTTATAGTTGAGCTCCTGGTAGGTAGTAGGTAGTGGTTGTTTGGGAGGTGGTAAGTTAAAGTATGAGTCAAGGATTTTAGTAACTGTGTAGAAGTCTGTGAGTTTTCTTTTGTATGCAGCCAAGTATTGAAGAGAGAATTAGTACAAGATTGAAAATAGTTGGTATAAGCTAGCCGTAAGTCCATTGTAATGAGGAGAAGTAGGAAAGTTTTGCAAAGTATGTTTCTGGAAGTTCAGAGAATTTGAAGATTCTTCTTAATGCATTTACTATGGCTCTAGTATGTAATTGCTATGTAATAGAGAGTTTGAATGGTAGGATCTCTAGGATTTTATTAGGGATCTACTTCAGTAAGTTAGGAAGTGGAATAAGCTTGTTCTTGAAGGCTTTGGTGATTTGTGCTCAAATCTCTTTAGAAGTTTCTTCACTTGTGTTTCAAATTTGTAAGAATCCTCTAGCATACCAAATAGCAATATAAATTTGCCTGTATATAGTTCTAGAAAAGTTGATATTGAAGAGATATTGTGAGATGAGCATTTTACTAAGCATAGTGTAAATTGTATTGTGGATATTAGTATTAGTAAGTGTAATTTTGTTTTCAGTTTTGTATGCTGCCAGGGCTGTATTAAAGAAGTTTGTGTATTCCTTTTGATGTACTGGGGTAGTCTTGAGATTGCGAGTAAAAGTTGTGAAGAATCTGGTGTCTTGGTGTGTGAACTTCAAAGCAATTGCTTCTGGTATTCTGTGTTGTATTGGGAGAATGGTTAGTTTGTAATTGATGAAGTTATAGATCTCTTCTGCAATTTCTAAAGCTTTTGTGATTATGTTGAATGATCAGAAGTTGGTATCAAAAGAGGTATTTATTAGTGTGGAGGTTTTAAGATACACTTCTGTGGCCTATTCTATATTGTCTACTGGGGCATCAGTGTTAAGGAGTTTGAGATTATTTTTGGTTACCTGGCTATAAGAAGGTCTTGTAGTTGTTTTATTGTTGCTTGTATTCTAACTGAAGTAGAGATACTGCCTACTGTAGTTTTTGTAGCTTTGTTAGAGACTGTGGTTATAGGAAATATATTTGACATATTTCTAGGCCTCTTGCAATTTAAGTTCAGATTGGGTGTAGTAGCTACCAGGGCTGTACTAGAAGTAGATGTAATAAGTATGAGTTGGGTAATCTGGTTGGTTGGTGTGCTTGGTCTGGGTGTAGTGATTTTGGTATTGGTGGTGTTAGAGTTGCCTATTGGGTCATAGTTAGGGGGTTTGTTTGTAGCTAGTGCCATATTGGCATTATTAGTACTTGTATTTGTGTTTGTGTATTCTGTAACCATATCTTGTGAGAAGTTTAGCTTTGTAAAAATTGCTGTGTTTGCTTGCTTACTATTACTTTTGTTTGACCTATTGTCAGAATCTAGGTCTGTGATTCAGTTGTACAAGATTATAGGATGTCTGTATTGCTTTTAGCTTTTGTGTAAGGTTTTATATTGCTTTTGTAAGCTTGATGGTTGTAGTGAGGTCATTGCTACAAGTTGTTTTAGACCATTGGCGCTAATGTTTACAATGCTGTTTTTTTGTGTTGTAAGGTCTAAGAGAACTAATTAGGCAGGATCTTCATAGCTGCATAACCATTGAGATGAGTAATTGGTGAGGTTTGAAGTTTTTTCTGATTTGGTAATATCAACAAAGAAGAGAAGATGTCAACTTGTTCTGGTTAGAGAAGCTGACAGTAAAAGTGAGTTTTGACCAGTCTTTAATAGTGATATTTAAAAAATTTTTAGTTTGTTCTGTGTCTGAGACTGGTGGCAAGCTAATAGTATTAGTATCCTTTAGTTGCACAAGTATTGTGAGCCGTGAAAAATAGTTAAAGATGTAAGAAGAGCTTTGTTTTCAGTGAGGTTTTTTGGTTTAGTGTAATATAGAGCTTGTTTTCTCTCACTGTTTTTTCTGAGTATACTATCTGTAGTTTGTTTTGGGGTATTTGAAAATTGGGATTCTTAGAGCCGTTTTTGTGAGAAAATTGAAAGAAGTCTTTTTTGCTATTTTGCTATTTATTGCTAATAATTTGTCTGGGTGGGGTCTTTTAGCAAAAGCTGCACTTTCTTTAAGTAGTTTTTGAGGTGCTGGGTAACTTTACTTAGAAGCTAAATATCAATTTACTTAGTAAGTTTTGAAGATAATGTAGTGGAAAAGTTTTCTCTTCTTGTTTGTAAATTTTTTCAAATTTTACAATTTGTATTAAATTTATAATATACTTATTCTTGGAATTTTAAAAAGTTTATTAATAAATAAAAATAAATTTTTGTTTTTTTTTTAAAAAAAATTGATTTTAAATTTTTTTCTATATAAGCAATTTTATTTATAATTTAAAATAAATAATACTATTTTATAATCCTTATTTTTAAATATTATTATATAGGCTAGGTGCTAAAAAAAAAACTAAAAATAACAAAATAAAAGATTTTTGAAAAATTAATTTTTGCGTTGTAAATCTTATAATAGATTATAAAAAAATACAAACTTTAAAGAACTATACTGCAAAATTTTATTAAGGCTAAACAATGTTAATTTTTTGGTTCTCATAATGTTAAATTTTGCAAATTGACCCGCCAACCCAGATTTTTTTTATAATTTAAAAAATTTTTTATTTGAAAATTTCTATTTTAAAATTACAACCCGGTAACCTGGCAAAAAATTTTATAATAAAAAAATTTAATTTGTATGTTTATTATACCTAAAATCAATTTTGCTAATATCTAATCTCTATTAGCTTAATTAATCTCTATAATTAGATATTTTTTAATAGTTTTAAGCCATTATATCTTTAGATGCTTAAAATTACAACTTCATGCAATGCTTTTTTGATTCATTAAAAAATTTAAATAAAACAATTCTAGCATATAAATTTTAATCTACCCAAATAACATAATATACTATTGCAAATCTGACTTGATCTAAAGTTTTTATATTTTTAAATTAAATTGATATCGCTTTTAGATAGTTTTTTTTTTTTTAAAAAAAATCAAGATCTACATTTTCATATATTCGCCTGTTTAAGAAAATAAATACTTAAATAATGCCTAATATCTTATGTTTGTTTTCATTTTCTAAATAATTACTTTTTAATTGTTGGCTGATGACGTTATATTAAATGCTAATAAAAGATTTTTTTTACTATGATTCTTACTATATTAAAAAAATTATAAGTAATTAAGCCGCGCACAGGTTGAATCAATGAATATCGGGTGCATACCGGGAGACAATTTTCCTGATATGTACCTGTTAATCTGCCATAGACCCACCAAATACCTGCAGCATATTGGCAACGTATTTGTAAGATATCAGGAAGTAGATCGATATCGGTAGCATAATAGGGATACCCTGATAGCTTATTCTTAGCACTCTGGGCCTAAAAGTAAGATATCGAAATATCCCAATATTTTGCTGTAATGTTGCTGATATCGATCTACCTCCCAATATCTTACCAATATGCTGCCAATATGCTACTGATATTCAGCAGGTATTTGGCGGATCTATGGCAGACTAACGGATACATATCAGGAAAATTGTCTTCCGGCATGCACCTGATATTCATTGAATCAACCTGTGTCATTATGACCAAATGACCTATGACTAATCATAAAAGTCATAGAGGTTATTGAAGATCATTAGCCAGCACTGAAATATATAGTTATTAAGAAATAGTGTTGTTAATAGAGTGCTTCAGACAATAATAAATATATAACTCACTCCGGAGTGATCCAGAAGTGGGTTATATGTTTTATTATTGTCCGGAGTGCTCCATTAACAACTATATTAAAAAGCAAATTTTATAAATTACAATAGTAGCATAAAGCAACTTGCATCTGGTGCCATTTATTAGCCTTTTCTCTTTTTATTCTAATCTTCTATAATACTGAGCAACACAATAAGTATCATCAATTTTGATGATGAATGCTCATTCTTTCAACTCCAATTCCATTAGATAATAATATCTGTTGTGGGTGATCATAAAATTCGGATGATGCTGAAGTTAATACATTCAATTGGTTAGGGCGAATAGTTAATGGGAGCTTTAGACTTTATGATTATCCAAACTTCACGATAAAAATTATCATATGTAAACCTAATACTCTAATCCTAATTTAACCAGAAAATTCTGAATCCACTTAAATTCCATTTCTTCTTACAATATATAGAAATTTGTGTAATGATAAAATAAGTTTAACACAGTTTGTATCATTGTAAAAATCATTAATCGGCAAACCCGTCAGATCGCTCTATATTAATAACTATCACGAATAATCATGAATAATCATGAAATCTAGAACTCTCCTTGGCTACTCACGCTAACCCTAACCTATCAGATATATTAATTTCAGCATCATCCGAATTTCGTGATCATCCGCATCATTAAATATCTTGGAGAAAACTTTAGAAATAAACTTAGTGCTTAACATATCAATTAGCATTTGTCAAAACTCATTACAAAATGATTCATTACTTACGTGAAGAATGCCTATATCACACAAATCTTCAACTTTACCTGAGTCCCTAGGCAACTATTTTGTGCCTCATAGTATTTCATTATTACAATAACGCTTGCCTTCTTAGATAAGCACATTGATATATTTTTACTTAATAAATGCAAGGCAATTTCAAGCTTGGAATTTCAGCTTATAAATGGCTATATAATTCTTACCTTCACAATGCAGGACCTTATGCATAAGTTGCTAGACATCCAGATCTAAACATAAGACAATTGCATAGGTTGTTCTGTATCATATCTTCGAAATCTTAATAAAATATGCCCCATAAAATATGCAGCTTAAAATTTAATAAAGAAATTGTAACAATTAAGTTCATTGTTTCTTATCATAAAATATCGCACTTACTGATTTAATCATTTTGTTGAACTATAATTTAAGACCGAATTGTTAATTGAAATAATCAATCATTCAATTATATTTCTTTTTGATGCAAAGCTTAAATACTTATTGTTGGAGTTTCAACAATTCTTGATTATTCTTTTATTCCCACATACATGTGCACGTACATAACCATTATTATCAATCTCTATATGGTTACTATAAATTTCTTAGAACAAAAGTCGAATTCGGTAACATTTGGATAATTCCTAATAAAGGTCAAGCGGTGTAATGCTTGCATAATAATAATAAGTGGAATAAAGTCAATTAAAAATATGGCAACAGCTAGTCAACTCTTAAAAAGAGTTGAATGAACAATGATTATATGTTTACTCAAATTAGGAAACAATAGTTCTCCTTCGAATATTAAATCCATTCCTAATAAATTGTGAATATGATTAGAATTAGTGAAAAGTATGTCTTTTATCAGAAGGAAGTGAGCTAACGAAATGTCATTGTGATATTGTATGAATGAAGTCTGGAGAAATGTAAAATTAGAATGTTAAAAAAAAATAAAAAAAAGTATTTAAAAAAGTGCTTTTTGACTATGAATAAAAAAATCGCGTATGCTTGAAACTGTCTCACCAAGTTATAATTTCAAATTCTTCACTTACTAGTTTAGCTAAATACTATTAATTTTAAAATGCCTATTGCAAATATACGTATCTCTCAAGGTTCAAAAATATTATATAGATGGTTCGTTCATCCAATTCTCTATGAAATGTCGGTAAAGGAATTTTTTCAAAAACTTATCCAAGAAATTGCAATACCAGACCTAGATTTTGAACAAGTTAAATCTATTGAAATAAGTAAATCGGCAAATTCAACAGAAGTCACACCCACAAGCCCTAATTGTAATATTATTGAACTTACTAATATATTCAGATCAAACATCCATTATCATTTGCATGAGAATACAGAATCCTTTAACTATCAAAATGGTCTTAAAATTCTTATGCAAACTGCAAGGAGAAATAATAACAGATTATACGTTTCTAATTTCGTGAGTTCAGGAAAGATAAATCGGAAACAACAATTGCGATTAGATATAGTTTCTTGGATTAAGTCTCATAATAGTGGCTGGTCAACATAAACATATGCTGATAATCAGGGAAAGCAGTTTAATATCTCTTTATCCGATATGCTTTAGTACATCGATATACATGACTATAAAAAATTAGAGGTGAGAAGTTTTCATATTCCTCAACTATTTAATGAGTTTTTAAATCATGCAAATCCAGAATCATATAAAGAAGCCAGGAAACCATTTGTCGCGGATGAATTTAACCTTCACTATCAAGTGCGTGTACCATATTCAACCTCTTTATGGATAAGGTCATCAACTTTTACTTGGTTATATGAAGCATTTGACGAGCTCATTGTTGTAGTTTCTGGTTATTTAAAATATTTATATCAGCAACAAAAAATAACTTCAAGTAATCACGCGAGTGAGGTTTTGGCTCGAAGCATTGAAGAAGCCACATCATTAAAAATACATAAAGCTAATAATTAGGTAAAGCCATACCATAGAAAATGGTATCAAGAACTTGAAAATACTATACAAAGTCTACAACCCTGGAGACTATATGATATAGAAGAATATTTGCCATCAGATTCAATGTAAAATATATAAATACTTGCGTTGTGTCATATATATTTACTTATCTTATTTTATTCTAGACAGCGATTACGGTTTATACAAGATCTTTCAGAGGCATTTTCATTTAAAATCGGTAACTATCGATATAACTCAGAGAATAATACGTACAATGTTATTTCAATCTGGAAAATTGAAGAAAACGTTGATGAAACAAAAATGGCTCAAGAAAATGCACGCATTGTAAAAGAACTGCAGAATAATGCACCCCAATACCATACTCGAGCTATGAGGTTTAATTATTTTCACACATGTAAGTTATTATTGCCAAAGGTAAAAGCAGCACCATTACGAAGAATGGTATCAGTTAATACTTCTGCTGCTGAATCTGCTAATGAAGCAAAAGTTGATACTTGTGTAACACTTGCCTTAAAGCTCGGGGACCCTGATATAACTATTAACTTGCGAGACCATAATCAAGGAAGACTGGAAAAGTATAAAGTTTTTTGGGATGTTGTGATATGTTTTTTTGCAGGAAAAGCTGCGGATTTTGTTGTTGCAGTTGATAAGCGTCATCACGATCAAATTGTACATTTAGCAACAGCCATTTCAGTAAATGACTTACGTCGACAAATTGAACGTGAGTGCCCTTATAACACGCCAATTCCTAGTGAACAATGGCTAAGATTACAGTTTTGGCCCAAAAACCCTATGTTTAAAAATAGCTTACAGTATACTGGTCACTTACCTCTAAAGTTTATGATACAAGCCCGACAATTACATGCAGACCACCCAGATGCCCATTATGCCTCAGCACTGTTTAGGTATGAAAAAGAGTTTTCTGTTAAGTTTCGTGATCTTACGTCGCTTGTGTTTCTTGAAGATAAGCATCGATGCAAATTTGGATATCCTGTGGCGGCAGTAGAAAGAGGTAAGCAAGTAATGGTTGGAAAAGACACAACATTCGCAGTAAGTAACCATGATTATGCCAAAACTGGGGTAATTCCAAGTGTTACAATGATATGTGATATCCCAAGAACAATCAATGGTGATTTCTATACAGGACAGGTAAAAATAGGATTAAAAGATCCAATATTCCATCCCTCTTCTTCTTTGAGGCATATGACAGAATTATACAATATTTTTTTAACACAAGAAACAATTAAGCCAATCTTTTGTCTTTATACAGATGGTGGTCCTGATCACCGATGCATATTTGTAAGAGTTCAATTATCATATATTTGTTTATTTTTGAAGTTGGATCTTGATTACTTTGTGGCAGTAAGGACCCCACCTTCTCATTCATGGAAGAACCCTGTTGAACGTATAATGTCAACACTTAATCTTGGATTGCAAAATATCAGATTAATGCATTCCAAAATGGATGACAATTACGAAAAGCTTCTTAGTAAGGTAAATTCAATGAAAGGAATTAGAGATATTGCTGAATCAAATCCTACTTTTAAAGCCAAAATTTTAGAAAATATTCAAGAGCCTATCCATTTTATTCGTGAGGTATTCGAAAGACAGTTTTTGAAAGATGAAGCATTTGAAACATTTAATGCCGCAACTGATGATGAAATAGAAAAATTTTGGAAAACGATTTACTTAATTGATAATACTGTGACTTGTGATATCAGCATAGTGGCGCATATAAAGCAAAAAGTAAGTAAATAACGAATACAAAGCAATGTTAATATATATAAAAAATATAAACCAATAATTTTGTCTTAAAAGTCTCTCTTAAAAAAATTCTATGATCATTGTTGTATTACACGCCACTATTCTTTTACAATTAAGAAATGTGGAAAAGATGGCTGTACTATTTGTAGCTCTCCTCGATGTTCACGTGAAATATTCGACCAACTTCATCCACTTCCAGTTCCAGTTCCAGGAAATGACTTGCACTACAAGTCCTTTGAAGAATTATATGGAAGCGAAACAACTAAAAAATACAGACCTTCTTTTCATGAAGCGAAATCCAATAATATAAAAAAAATATATAAAAAACATATAATGCCCTTTTGCCCTTCTTCATTTCATACAAAAAATATTAGGATTACTATCTCTTGTGCGGAATGTGACAAGTAGTGTTTCGGGCGAAACCCGAATTTGCAGATCATTTGCAGATCAAATTGGGCGAAACTAATTTCGGAGGGTTTCGGACTTATAGGGCGAAATTAAAATTCTTCTGGGCGAAATATTTCGGATTTGGAAAATAATTTCGCCCGAAACACTAGTGACAAGCAACGACTCTTGTTTAGTTCAAGGAAATTATTAAATGCAGATCGTAATATACTTCAACAATTCTTAGAGACAATTTTATACTCATGCGGAACAATATTTAAAAATATTAGTGAACTATTATCAGCAAAGCCCTTAGAATCCTTTAATGACTATTATGAGGACGATGATAATGAAAATAATGATAGAGATGACAATGAAGTTAGTAATAAAGATAACAATAATTATGATGAGGATGACAATGAAGTTAGTAATAAAGATAACAATAATTATGATGAGGATGACAATGAAGTTAGTAATAAAGATAACGATAATTATGAGAATGCATATGAAAATTATAATGATAATTATGAAAATGTATATGAAGATGATGATAACTATGAGAACGAGTATGAAAATAATATCGAGCTT